AGCAATAGTAACAATTGAGCCCTAATACATACAAAACTAAGATAATTTTCTAATTACCTTATCGACGAAATAGAATAGAAACGAAAATTAATAATAATAATAATAATAATAATAAAAATTTTGAGGATGTAAAAGAGCAAAGTGATCCGTCAATTTATCGGAACGTGATAAAAGTATTACATCCGTTGCCGCGAAATTTCAAACCTAGGAAGTAATGATAAAAGTTTCATCTACGACTACTCCCAAGCACCCAATAACATATCGAAAGTGCACTTTAGAAAAATGTCGTGCCGAGCGCGAACAATCGCACGCGAGTCCTATCGCGCACATCGTAAAAAGCAGAGGGCTTCCGTAAAAAGTAGCGCGCATCAGAAAAGTCCGCGACGCAAAAAGCGCGACGGATGTACAAGGCACGCCAAGCGTAATCGGACCCGCGCCCGTAAATCTGTCGAAGCGCGTGCTCGCGATGCCGTCGTCGTGGCAAGGGGGACACGGGGAGGTAACCGTGTGTCGAGGGTCGCGGGTTAGGTTGTTGCGTCGGGTGGTGGAGGTGGGGAGATTAGGGGATGGCGGGAGTACGGGGGTGGCGGTGGCGAGCAATAGTGGCGGGTGGTGAGGGGGAGGGTAGCCGATGAATAAGGCAAGCCCAACGAAAATCGGCGTGAAAATCCGCGACGCGCGCTACCGCTGCTTTGAGTTTGAAGAGGGAAGAGGCAAGCGAACGAGCATCAGTCAGTCGGGTGGTAGTGCGGCGTCGATAAAAAGCGGAGAGAGAGAGAGAGAGAGAGAGAGAGAGAGAGTAAGCGAGAGTGAGTGAGGCCACCGCCGATCGCGTTAAAAAGCTCGGAAAGCCGCGGCTTGTTCCCCGCCCCTCTGGCGCTAAGCGCCTCGGCGCCCCCTACCCCTCGGCCGTCGGCATCGCTCGGCTTTGGCGTCGGCGGGGAGGGGGACGTCGAGACTCTCGGGCAGGCAGCCTCCGCGCGCCGGCGGCAGTCCGTCGACGTCGCTGGTAGCGCTCGGACGGCTCGTGTTTATCGTGGGTCCGCTTACCCGCAACAGCCGTCAGCAACAGCAGCAACAGCGGTATCATCAATACTACTACCACAACCGTCGCTCCGCGCCCTCTCCTCGCCCTCTCCCCCCCCCCCGTCCCACCCACGCGTGTCTCGCGCCCCTTCCAGAGGCCGAACCCGTCGAAAGCGCGTCAGAGTGAGCGAGAGAGAAGAGGGAAGCGGAGCGCGCGACAAGTGGTCGCCTCGGCACGTGGCCGCCCCCCATGACGCCGAAGCGGGGCTCGGGCGCGATGCTGAGCGCGAGGCCGCCCAGCCCGGGTCTCACCTCGCACAGGCAGACGTCCACGCGGTTGCGACCCGGGGCCGGCGGGTCCTACTAAGATGACAGCGCGCGTACACTCCCCGAGGCAGCAGCAGCAGCAGCAACAGCAGGACAGCGGCAGCAAGAGAGGCGGCGACGCGACGGCGGGGACCTCCTCCGCTGCGGCGGCAGCAGCGGCGGCGGCGGTAGTTGCGGCAGCGGCGGCTGTAGCCAGACTTCAGCAACAGCAACAGCAACAGCAACAGCAGCACCACCTCTTCATCGAGGAGTCAAGCACGAGTCCGAATCCAAGTCCCTGCACGACCCCGAGTCCCGGTCCAAAACTCGCCGACGGACGTAGAGTAAGTAGAGTGCGACTTGCAATTGTTGTGCACCGATACGCAAGCGCACGTGCACCGAGCGCCAGGGGCACGTGGGCATGTCCATCGAGGGTTTCACCATCATCCCTATCAGTCGATCCGTCTCCCCGTGCTGCGCCCTTACATTCTCCCTTACGAAATTCTCCCTCCACGTCACGAACCGAAAATACAAATGTGGATACGACGCTAAGCCGAGGAGTTTTTCTCGACGATGTGACATGGCAGATCGCATGTAAATAACCGCCCTCGGTATTAACTTACATCCCCAGCCCCGACGAGCCCCAATAATACCTCGACGTTTGTATTCCCATACGCAATATAGTGGCTCGTGTAAATGGAATTGTCGAGAAAGCGTAACGGATGGACGTTGGGTTTGCAAGCGTTTCACGGCCATTTGGACTCTTTTGACTCGCGACGATCGCTATCAACTGATAATCGGCGTCGCGCACGCTATCGGCGAGCCACGATGACAGCCTCTATGCTCGCACAACACAAAACACCTCCACGGATGACCCCAACAAAGCAGCTTTGTTAGCCGTTATTTTGCATTAGTCGTGGCTTTGTCGTAACGCGGCATTAAAAAACAAGAAAGAAAGTTAAGGCGATAAAAGCGCGACATCGACGTCCCGTCGCGTGCGAACCTGGAGGTCCCCGTTTGACGTTCAAATATACGGAAAAACGCGCGAAGGAGAAAATAGTAGTTGCCCGGGCCGTGCTAAGACGCTCGGTCGACAGGGGCAGTCTGCCAACTCGGCGACTTGGCTCTACAACGCGACCACGGCACCGAATCTCGAGCCAGCCGGTCCTAGCTCCCCGCTCCCTCCCTCCTCGTCGCCCTCCTTCACCTCCACAACCACCTCCTCCTCTTCCTCCTTCTCCTCCTCCTTCTCCTCCTCCTCCTCCTCAATCCCTCCCGTACTCCCTCAAACCCCCTTCACCGGCAAACCTCCTCGCGTCAAACATCGCCTCCCGCCCCGCCCACCGGTCAACCCGTCGCCACACCACTAACCCTATCCTGGGCGGCCCCACGGCCCCATCGGTCCCTCGCACGTCGACGTACGTAGACAGGAGACTGACGCCCTTGTAACCGTGTGTTGCAGGCAAACAAACCACTAATGGAGAAGCGACGGCGCGCCCGGATCAACCAGTCGCTGGCGGCGCTCAAGGCCCTCATCCTCGACAGCGCACGCCTCGAGAACACGAAGCACAGCAAACTCGAGAAAGCGGATATTCTCGAGCTGACGGTGCGCCACCTCCAAAGGCAGCGTTCCCTCGCACAGCCGGGCCTCTCGAGGTACAAGGCCGGTTACCAGGACTGCTCCAGAGAGGTACGGACTCTTCATCATTTCCTCCACGCTCGTGAAACGCGCTTTTACACACAAACACACGCGCACACGCGCTCACACACACTCTCATCTTTACTTTAAAAGTTGCTGCTCTCGATGCTTGACCAGCGAGATTATTCTCCTCGGTGCACGAGCACGACTTATTATCGTACCAATAAATGCTGACGAATTCACTTGGGCGCGAGAAGCGATAAATAATTTCGCTGCCAGACGCTAATATACTTTAACATCAAAGCTCCCATCAAGTCCGACGCTTCGATAAATAAAGGGCCACGTACGCTCGTACCACCGTACCCACCTCCTATTCCGAAAGAATCTGTCGATCCTTCATGCGATCAATGACAGCTTCATTTAAACGTCGTAAGCGTTGCAATTATACTCGCAGGCTGAAATCGAGTCGAGACTCAATCAAACTAGACGGACGCATACGACTGTCGCGAGTATCGACCGCAACTCCATAAATTAGTAAATTCCCGTAAGATGATAGGCGCTTTATAGGTATTGTCGTACTCGCCTATCCCTGTCCTTCGAAACTAGTTGTCCGTCGCTTCAGAATACGTAACGAAAAACGAGCTTATTATGCGCAAAAACAATCTCAAGGGATAAGTGCTCGGAAGATTTAAGATACGTTGGAGGTTGAGCGGCAAAGCTGAAAAAAGAAAAGGCCAAAATAATAAGAAAAGAATACGGTAGGAAAAAAAAAACAAGAGGAGCTCTCGCTCTCTCTCTCTCTCTCTCTCTCTCTCTCTCTCTCTCTCTCTCTCTCTCTCTCTATTTCTCTAAAACCACCACCCCAATACCACACTAAACCCCACCCCCACCCCACCCCTCTTCAATCGCTCACCTTCCTTCTCTGATAGTCGCGGGTCAGAGTAAGTCGCGGGTCCGTTTAATTATTCATCGGGAAGCGACATGCCGAGGCAGGCGCTGGCCCAGGCGCAGGCGCCGCTAATATCTCCTCGAACGAACTTCGAGCGGAGCGAGCGAGTTGCGAGGATGAAAAAAAGCCGTAGAAATCGACGCCGAGCGATAAAGACAGGGCGCACGAGCATGTATCTCCCGATCGCCGGCGGTATACCGCTCGCATTTCTCTGGCGCGATTTATGCGCGAGCGAACACACGCGGGCGTTTTGCGATCCGATCGTATCGGAGGCAGAGCACCGCCGCTGCCGCTGCCACTGCCGCTGCCGTCGCCGTCGCCGTCGCCGTCGCCGCCGCTGCCGCTGCCGTTGCCGTTGTTCCGTGACAAGCGTCGCTCGATTTAATGCCCGCGCGCCCGTACTCCCTTTCCTTCCTTCCTTTTGTCTCGCACTGCGGGCCCCGGCATCTAAACAACAAAGCCCCTTTCCCTGTCTTCGGTCGTAGTCGGCCCCTTTCCCCGGCCCTCGTCCGCAACCCGGTCGGGCGCTCGCGTGCACAACGTCGAGTGCCGAGCCATTGGTAAGACGATGTCTCTTTCTGTCTCAATCCTTTCGCTTTCTCTTGTCTTCTAATTTGAAATTTATTTATTTTACTTGCTTTTATGTGCCTTTTATTCGCAAGCTGCTTTACTTTTATTTTTTTTTTTTTTTTTTTTTGCAGGAGGACCGCGTTTTCGGGCTCGCTTCGTTTTCGCGATGTAGGTGGGCACGCCTTTGGTTATCGCGAAATAACGAGGGGAGCGGGCCGAGCCGTTGAATTGGATGGCGGGAACCCGTTCGACTGTGGCTGAACACCACCGCCGTCGCGCGCCGACGAGGCCATAAATCGCAAAAGGAAATAAAAAGAAGTCGGAGGGAGTAGAGGCAGTCGTGCCGCGCGGTGCCGCGGACCGATCTACTGCCGACCGCCGCTCTCTGATATTTATACGCGGCGCGCTCACTTTCCTTCTTTTTTTGCCTCCTTCCTCCTCGTTTTCTTTCTTTTTTTTTTTTTATTTTTTTTTTTTTTTTCCCCTCTTTCTCCGACCCCCTACGCCCCC